ACACAAACACATTCACACACACAAACACATTCACACACACAAACACATTCACACACACAAACACATTCACACACACAAACACACACATTCACACACACAAACACACACATTCACACCCACAGCGCTCCCTGGTTTTGCGCTGAGTTTGTTTAAGGCAGAGCACGAGAGAGGAATGAATCTCCAGCGTTAAACTTACATAGAACCTTGGGTTCATAGCGATGTGTGGAGCATAAACTACACACTGTCCACTACACACTGTCCACTACACACTGTCCACCATACACTGTCCACCATACACTGTCCACTACACTCTGTCTAAAATAAACTGTCCACTATACACTGTCCACTATACACTGTCCACTATACACTGTCCACTATACACTGTCCACTACACACTATCCACTACACACTGTCTACTATACACTGTCCACAGCACATTGTCCACTACACACTGTCCACTACACACTGTCCACTATACACTGTCCACTATACACTGTCCACTACACATTGTCTACTATACACTGTCCACTACACACTGTTCACTACACACTGTCCACTACACACTGTCCATTATACACTGTCCAAGATACACTGTCCACTACACACTGTCCATTATACACTGTCCACAACACACAGTCCACAACACACTGTCCACTACACACTGTCCACAATACACTGTCCACTACACATTGTCTACTATACACTGTCCACTACACACTGTTCACTATACACTGTCCACTATACACTGTCTATTATACTCTGTCCACGATACACTGTCCACTACACACTGTTCACTATACACTGTCCACTACACACTGTCCATTATACACTGTCCAAGATACACTGTCCACTACACACTGTCCATTATATACTGTCCACAACACACTGTCCACTACACACTGTCCACAATACACTGTCCACTATACACTGTCTATTATACTCTGTCCACGATACACTGTCCACTACACACTGTTCATTACACACTGTTCATTACACACTGCCCATCATACACTGTCCACTATACATTGTCCATTACACACTGTCCATTACACACTGTCCATTACACACTGTCCACTACACACTGTCCACTACACACTGTCCACTATACACTGTCCACTACACACTGTCCACTACACACTGTCCATTACACACTGTCCACTACACACTGTCCATTACGCACTGTCTACTATACACTGTCCACTACACACTGTCCATTATACACTGTCCATTATACAGTGTCTGCTACACACTGTCCACTACACACTGTATACTGTAAATTATACACTGTCCACTACACGCTGTCTACTATATACTGTCCACTACACACTGTCAAATATACACTGTACACTGTCCACTACACACTGTCCATTATACACTGTCCACTACGCACTGTCCACTATACCCTGTCCACTACAGACTGTCCACTACAGACTGTCCATTATACACTGTCCACTACACACTGTCTACTAGACACTGTCCATTATACACTGTCCACTACACATTGTCTACTATACACAGTCCACTACACACTGTCCACTACACACTGCCCACCACACACTGCCCACTACACACTGCCCACTACACACTGCCCACTATACACTGTCCACTATACTGTCCACTATACTGTGTCCACTATACACTGTCCACTACGCACTGTCCACGATACACTGTCCACGATACACTATCCACGATACACTGTCCATTATACACTGTCCACTACACAGTGTCCACTACACACTGTCCATTATACAATGTCCACGATACACTGTCCATTATACAGTGTCTACTACACATTGTCCGCTACACACTGTCCACTGTACTCTGTAAATTATACACTGTCCACTACACACTGTCTACTATACACTGTCTACTATACACTGTCCACTACACAGTGTCCATTACACACTGTCCACTACACACTGTCGACTACACACTGTCCACTATCCACTATGCACTGTCCACTACACACTGTCCACTACACACTGTCCGCTACACGCTGTCCACTATACGCTGTCCATTATACACTGTCCACTATACACTGTCCACTACACACTGTCCACTACACACTGCCCAGTACACACTGTTCACTACACACTGTCCACTACACACTGTCCGCTACACACTGTCCGCTACACGCTGTCCACTATACGCTGTCCACTATACACTGTCCACTGTACACTGTCCACTATACACTTTCCATTATGCAGTGTCCATTACACACTGTCCATTAAATACTACCCACTATACACTGCCCACTATACACTGTCCATTATACATTGTCTACTATACACTGTCCACTATACCCTGTCCACTACAGACTGTCCACTACACACTGTCCATTATACACTGTCCACTACACACTGTCTACTAGACACTGTCCACTAGACACTGTCCATTATACACTGTCCACTACACATTGTCTACTATACACAGTCCACTACACACTGTCCACTACACACTGCCCACCATACACTGCCCACTACACACTGCCCACTACACACTGCCCACTACACACTGCCCACCATACACTGTCCACTATACTGTCCACTATACTGTGTCCACTATACACTGTCCACTACGCACTGTCCACGATACACTGTCCACGATACACTATCCACGATACACTGTCCATTATACACTGTCCACTATATACTGTCCACTATACACTGTCCACTACACAGTGTCCACTACACACTGTCCATTATACAATGTCCACGATACACTGTCCATTATACAGTGTCTACTACACATTGTCCGCTACACACTGTCCACTGTACTCTGTAAATTATACACTGTCCACTACACACTGTCTACTATACACTGTCTACTATACACTGTCCACTACACAGTGTCCATTACACACTGTCCACTACACACTGTCGACTACACACTATCCACTATCCACTGTCCACTATGCACTGTCCACTACACACTGTCCACTACACACTTTCCACTATACACTGTCCACTACACACTGTCCACTACACACTGTCCACTACACACTGTCCGCTACACACTGTCCGCTACACGCTGTCCACTATACGCTGTCCATTATACACTGTCCACTATACACTGTCCACTACACACTGTCCACTACACACTGCCCAGTACACACTGTTCACTACACACTGTCCACTACACACTGTCCACTATACACTGTCCACTGTACACTGTCCACTATACACTTTCCATTATGCAGTGTCCATTACACACTGTCCATTAAATACTACCCACTATACACTGCCCACTATACACTGTCCATTATACATTGTCTACTATACACTGTCCATTCTACATTGTCCACTATACACTGCCCACTATACACTGTCCATTACGCACTGTCCATTACACAGTCGACTACACACTGTCCATTACACACTGTCCAAGACGCACTGTCCATTATACACTGTCCATTATACAATGTCCACTATACACTGTCCACTATACACTATCCACGGCACACTGTCCATTATACACTGTCCGTGATACACTGCACACTGTCCATTATACACTGTCCACTACACACTGTCCACTACAGACTGTCCACTACAGACTGTCCACTACACACTGTCCACTAACACTGTCCACTAACACTGTCCACTGTACACTGTCCACTATACACTGTCCACTATACCCTGTCCACTA